ACTTGCCATGATTGAACCCAAAAAATACGTAGCCAAATCAAAAATGTATCAATCTTGCCAAATGACAGCTCTGTTTTCTTTTTTTTGTAGAGGTTGTATTATACAATCAAAAGCATAGATAAAACGCAACAACAAAAAATATACACACCGGGCTGCAATTTGAACTTATTTATAATTTATTCTTTTCATGAAATTATATTTAAAAAATTTCATTTATTCTTTTCGTGGAATTATATTTAAAAAATTTCCTTCTTTCATACAAATTTCAAATACAAAATTAATGTCCATACATGTACATTTGTGGTATAAGTAGTTTGTTCAGTGCGAGTATGAGAAACAAACTGTACCTTATTTTTTCTTTAAAGTAATATTGATCATAGTTGATCATATCATAGAAGATAAATTGTCAGATCTCGAATTCGTATTCAGAAAATGCGAATAAAAACATGAACTATATTATTTCTATTAAAAAATTAATCAAATATATTTGAGATTAAAAAGCCATATTTATCAATTGATACGGCAAAAAACTCTTCTAAGTTCCTCTCTGAATTTGAAGTCATAAAACCAGTAAATATATGGATTTGCAATGTGATTTATCAGTTGAAAACGAATACTGAGAACGTATATATTCCGTTTGTACCCTTTAATTTCCCCAGTACTTGCAAAATCGTAGATGTGTGTAACTAGTGATGTCATATACGAGACTACGTAGACAATAATGATCACAAAAAACATGACACTGATATTGCTTCTAGAATTGTGTTCCGGACCCTTCCTTTTTTTAGAAGCGTTCCGATTTTCCTCATCGGTTGAAAGTGAATTTTGCTCTATCGTTACTTTTCCAACACTAACCATTTCGATTTCCGTGGATACGTCATGACTGCTGCTATCTTGTATATTATTGGGTCGATATCGTTCAGCATGGGGAAGTCTTTTATAAACGGTTTTAATCACTGGTATGTAAAGACCAGATGTGATGAAAATATTGATAAAGGAAATCAGTAGCAAACTTCCAAGGTATGCGATGATAGCACTCGAGTTGTTAGTACCGTCGTCGATATGACAGAAAGACACGTCACCTGTGACATTAAGTGATTTGATGTGATATGATATTGTTTTGAATTTGAAAATTGGCGCTGCATATCCGATAGAAATCCAAAATATAACAAAGATTACAATTCTGCACACTTTTGGGGTTAATTGTTTACCGAAAGGACGGCAGATGAGCCGATACCTCTGTAATGCAATGGCAAGGATCAGGTGAGTTGATAATCCATTGGTTAATACAATTAAGAATGTCATTGTTTTACACAAAAATACACCAGGATAGATGTAGCGCATGGTGTTATCAAAATGAAACTGAGTTACGTTCGAAAAAGATCCCAGAAGATCTACAATAGCTAGAATTGGTATAAAGTATCGGCAGCCTGTATTGTCCTGTATGTATTTTGTGTACATCAAAAGGACTAGACCATTTCCAAGTACGCCGAAGGTTCCAAGAATCAGTTGTATAATTGTAGATGGAATTAGATATTCAGCGTATTCTTCGGACAAAAGCTCTGCGTCGGCCATGTTTGAATTTGAAGTAAAGAAAAACAAACTAAATTTTCTTGAACCTTTGATTGACATGAATGGAAATAAAATGTGACATGAAGATGAACATTTGATATATAATATATGGTTACTCAATTTATTTCCTTCCTGTATATAAAAAAAACCAAAACGGAAAAGGTTGTCAACGATCGACACAGGGAAGAATTTGGTAGTTTGTATTCCCTTTGCAAACTATTTGAAAAAGAAACAACTCATTATATATAAAATGTCAGTCTTCGATTGCATTATTAGAAGTTATTAGAAGGATTGTCGACTATTCAGAAGAATTTTTGAAAAAAATCTGATCGAAAGAGTTTTTATAAATCAAATGCCTTTTTCGTAAATTTTGACGCTTATTTAAGCGCAGTCTAAAAATATGCCCAATTATCTTTGTGAACATTTGTACTTTTAATTACGATTGTACTTCCCAGAATAATCCGGGTTGCGCATACGTTTTCTTTTTATTAGGATTATCACTGGGTATATAATAGATGACGTAACGTCATATCTCTCTTTCCTATCCAGAAATCGAACAAATTGGTAGGTTCAATTCGATGTAGTTAACATTTGAAATATTTGGTCTTAAACCAAAACTAGGAATAAAATATTTATGGATCAAATGAGGTTAACAAATACAATTACTACAATCACTATTATAGACATAAAAAAGCTTCGATTCCTGAAATTTTTTTGTGGCTAATGAAGATTTAATAATCGTTTCGCGAGAGTAGGTGTCGCAAAGATTTGGTGCTCTACAGTAACTTGAGGGTGGTTCAGTGTTTGTTAATTATAAGCAATGTATTCCACCAGGATTTCTTACTTATATGTACTTATGAAATTCTGAAATTATCGATCTTGCATTATATTCAACATCACATTTGCACACCCCCTCCAACCTCCATCGAGAAAGATTTCAGCGAAGCTACGTAATCGCGATGTCAAGCATTATAGAGTGATGCTATAACGATATACTGAGCAATTAGAGAGATGTTATAACGTTTTATAGCAATTATAGAGTGGTGTTATAATGCTATACTGAACTTTTACGGAGTACTGTTAAAATGTTATACAATATTTATAGAGCGATGTTATAATCTAGAACTGAGCATTTATAGTGATGGTTTCATATTATACGTAGCTCATTTATCGAATGATGATAGATACCATTATTTTATTGTTTTTGTAGAAAAACACCCTCTCATTAATCAATAGAAACACGGCTTCAGATTACTGTGAAGGTGCCTTGTTGCGTACTTCATGAAGAGGGATCGTATAATCCGCACAGTTTTCATAAAATCTTGCATTACCGAAAAAAGGACAAATTCGTTAGAAGGACGTTTATAGAGTACTAAATAAGTATACCACAAACCCAGCAGATGATTATGATACATATTATATTATATTACATTATATGATAGATTTCCATTTGTTATCTTATCTTCTCATCTGACGTGAAATATTCTAACAGCTGAACTCTCTTGTAAATGAAAATATAAAAAATCGCTATCATCAAAACGTCCCTCAATTTATTATATAATGGACTCTACACAAATACTGTTATTTCTGCTAATAAAAAGTAAACACTATAAAAACTATATCAAGATAAATTTTTCTTTTCTAACTTTTCTAACTTTTTACATTTCATTGGCGACCTTTTCTTCCGCCTCTGTTTATCTTATTTTAACGAGACCTCAGTAACGACAACCATGAGAATGTGAAGACATCTTATCAAACTTTATGGATGTTTTCCATTTATTTCTTCTTTATCTTAAATTTTCTTTCGACTTTCTTATATACCTCCATTTTTCCTGTCTATGATTTTTTTCTTTGTCTAACTTAAGAAGTTGGTATTTGCGTTTCTTTTTGTTTCTTTTTGTTGTTGTTGTTTTTTTTTTATATTTGTTTGTTTGTTTAAACAAAGCATTTCTTTTGTAACTATTTCTTTCAGAAATATTCAAGTATTCAAGTATCATAATAACCAATTGTAATAATTGGCTCCAGATTTACTTACTTGTCTCTCATTAAAACGCATTAATGGACGTTGAACTTTCTTTGCTAAAGTATGCTTTATTATTCTCAATTTGTAGTATTGAAAATGGGCAAGATTACAGTGTTGAATAAACTTTTAAAAAAATATTACAAATATTGTCATATTCTTTGAACAATCATGAAACCAAACGTTGGCTGAGTGTTTATACTAATAAGCAAAGAATTGCAGATTAAATTTACTGTTATTTTCAGATAATGTCAAGGAGCACACGGCGTTTGTGATCGGTCGTCAGGACATGTCCATCCTTGATCACACATCTTCTGTTTTAGAGGTCCATGTTTGTTCTGCTCCTGATTGTTATCTTTTGCTTGGACGTTTGATTTAGAATGCTGTTATGTATCTGTTATGTATCTAATACACATACTTCATTAATCTAATTTTAATTGATTCCAACATCATTTTGATTAATCTTTTTGTTTGTAATTAAAGACATAAATAAAAATAAGTGACGAAAATGACATGTATTGAATTCATGGTGTAAACATCCTGATGGGGAAATAAATTAACACGAATATTTATGAAGGAACAACTTGGATCGATTAAACAATGCCATTTCAAAATATTTTTCAATGGTTTCAGATAAACATTTCAAGTTCATGTTTCTATACAAAAAAGACAGTTTTGCATGTTTTATTTTCTAAGCAAGTTTAAACAGAATAAAAAAACTACAAACAAAACAAATATTATACCAGACGTATCATGATGAAAATACATGTACCAAGACAAGAACGTCAAAAAGATAAGTTGACAATGCAAATGTATTTAATTCCCTGTTTAGGGAAATTGCGAAAATGCAGCTCAATATTCTTATCTTAAAAAACATCATTTAAAAACAATTTTATCGCAACAAAATCTTCGAAGTTCGTTTCTAAACTTTAGGTCATAATACCAGTAAATATATGGGTTAGCAATGTGATTCAAAAGAATGCAGCAGCGAAAGAATATGAAAATATTTCTGCTTTATCCCCATTTAACTTCACTTGAATCTTGGTAGATTCGCGTAACAAATGACCTAAGACACGAAACTAATAATGATCTTGAAAAACATGACGCTAATATTCCTTCTGGCATCTCTATCTTTCTTTGAGGTTTTATTGTTTTCATCAATTACCTGTACTGAATGTTTCAGACCTGCATTTTTTCCCAACACCAAATGTTTGTGTTTCGTCTTTTGGAGCATTGATTGTGCCATCTGGAACATCATTTTATGCAAAAGTATGACACATCAAAATCCTTCCTTCTTTGAAAAAAAAAGATGGGACAGTTTCCTTTAATATACCAGGGAATTCTTCTAAGTAATGTATATAGATATTTGAATTTAGATACTAGATAGGACTTACATTATTTGGTCTTTACTGTGGCTTATCAACGCAGTTTTTTTTTTACAAGAATTGATTCAAATTTAGATTTGAAAGAATGTGTGTGTACTTCAAACCATTTGATTTAAAACGAAGTTGGTGTATTTTTTAAATTTTCTGTATTTCTTGTAGATTGTTAAAAATACTGATATAAAAATCAAGAATAAAAAACATAACTATATTCAGTATGTAAATTCAAAAATAATGTTACCATTATATTGAGTTATGTAGCAAAACACTATTAAAATAAGAATCTATTGGAATTGAGTTCACATTTATGTGCTTATTTTTACATATCACCATAGAGTATTGTTAAGAATTATTGATTTTTTTTAATTTTACACCTGGTGTGAAAAGTATTTACTTAATCTGTTGAAAAATACCGAATTCGAATTTAGCCCTTAACTCAATGGGCAGTGACGAATTGTGACGGTACACATTGTTGTTAAGTCAAATATTTGTTTTCGGCAACAATATATCAATCTACTTTCAAAGTAAAAATATGTCGCCCACATAGCACAGTGGTTAGAATGTCTGCACTAAAGACATGAAGAAAGGCCTGCTAAAGTTTTCGGGTACGGAACTGATGAGCTTTTTACAGAACTGCAGGGCGCGTCCCAAGAGACGATAATTAAGGACAGACGATACCTTCTCAAATTATCAATAATTTTCTCCAATTTTTTGTCTTTGAAGTAATGCTGGTTTTAGAAGTGAACTTACAAATGAATGAGGTACATTATCAGGCATTTGTGCAAAATACCAGAGGATGGTGTTGCCTTCATAATCCTTTGTGAAAATATTAAATTGCCAAAAGCAAACATTTAAGCATTGTGAATTTTTAAAGACTTATGTCTAATAGAAACAAGTTTAGAAATAACAAAGTATTGATAATTTTAGATATTTTTTTCATATATTACGAAGATACACAGAACGGATTTTTGAGGAATGTATTGTCTGACCTTAAAACGATTTGAATAAAAATTAAATAATTCTCAATATCACTGAATGAAATTGTTCATACGCAAGAAATACTTTCTCCTCAAAACTTCAAATGCTAATGAATACATCGCTACTTCTAAAAGATAAATTCATTTCAAATAGAACAAGCATTCTGATAGTATTGCATAAGGAATATATATCCCTTACGGGCCAGTTACAGTTTTCTCTTTAAGATGTCATTTAATAATATCCTGTTTATGATAAAGCTACCCAACAAGCTTTTAATTAATAATTTTTAACATGACAATCACGTTTAGATTATTAAATTATGGCTGTACGAACACGATCTTATACCATATTATGAAAAAATGCCACAATTCCGCCGAAATAACTCAAGCGAACTGACGTTTGAAATGTAACTAAAAAGATACAATAACATCCCAAGAATCAGCTCAATATTTGCAAGCATGTAGAAAGTAAGGTAGGAGAAACCCAGTAGGACAGACTGACGAAAAAAAAAACTAGGACAGTTGGACGGACGGACGGACGGACGGACAGACTCAGAGGAAACCTATTGTCCCCTCCAGTTTCACCTGTTACATATTATTTCTGCCGATAAAACAGATAAAGAATATATTCTGACAAAATATCAGATCACACGAGTTTCCTAGCCGAGACCCA